GAACATACACAAGCACATCCAAGTTTGAAAGAAAGGAGTAGGAGGTTGTGTCAGAAAGAGTGCTTATTTGAGTTGAAGCATTCAAGAAGTCTACGAGGTCCAGAAGATATAATTATAGGAGCTGGCATTGGAGGGTCCCGCAGATAGCTGGGATGACGCTGTCATGGGAATTTGAGGCTAGGGCATTATAAAGGACACCAAAGTGCCCCAAATGGTAACAGAAAATGATGTAAAAGTAAAAACCAGTGAACCTAGTATCAAACTTTTTGATGTCTATGGGCAAGAGGCTCAAAAGCAATGGGCTTTTTTCAATAGTGAGAAAGGACATTGCCTCCTCTGTATAATACCTTTTTCACAGCTGTACTAGTGTGAGCTATGGGAAGTGAGGATAACTTTCTGATTTAAATTTTCTATTTGTATATCTGGTTATACCTGATTTAAGATTCTACATTATGGCATTGCTAGTAGTTACTATGAGAGTCTCAAACTCTCTATTTGGTGGAAATACATCTCAAATAGTTTGTTCCAAGTTTATAAACATCACAACCTACCTGAAAGGGGATCTTAAAAACGTGAGAGAAAGGGAAGAAGGGCCTATTTTCCTTTTCTGTATTATTCATTATTGTTGCTTTTGTAGCTAGGGATCACATGGTCATTGTCATCACATACTCAGGGGAGAAGTGTCTTGGAACACAGAGCTTCTAGAGTTTTAGACAGAGCTCACATTTGAGTGTGAAAAACTGGCACATGAAGAAACTGTGATATTCTGAATTGGTGGGACTTTAAAATTTCTTCTATCTTCTCTGTATTTCTTGTAAGGACATATGGCTCTCCACCTTTTAGGCAGAAAGAGCCAGAGTAGCAAGAACCCTGACAAAATCTCCACATGTGAGGAAAGCCATCCCCTTGACACCTTGATGATGTATCCTTTTAGCATCAGAAATGACTGAAGATGGATGTAAACAAAGATCACTTCACCCAAAATGTAGATTGACATGAAGAAATTAAATGTCATGAATTTTTTTCTCACCCATGAAATGTAACATGAACAATGTCAGAAGTTAATACAGAAACTCAATTTAAAAAGTTATTCATTCATGCATTCAACAAACCCATTTATTGACCATCTATTTTGCTAAAAGCACTGCTTAGGCACAATAAGTAGAGCCATAAATAAGCAGACTAGGTCACGGTTGTTGTTGAGGTACCCACCTAATGGGAGAAGAGAGATAAGAAATAACTAAACAAATAAATCAACAACAAACTTTTAGATAGTGGGGAGTGTAATGAAAATAACTTTGAGTAGGGGTCAACTTTGATTTTTTTTACAGAGGGATAGAGAGTTAGAAACATTGATGAGAGAGAAACATCAATCAGCTGCCTCCTGCACACCCCCTACTGGGGATGTGCCCACAACTCTTGACCAGAATCAAACCTGGGACCCTCAGTCTGCAGGCCGATGCTCTATCCACTGAACCAAACCAGTTAGGGCAGGGGTCAACTCTTGACTGGCCAGCAAAGATGGGGAAAGTGACATCAAGTTGATCTGGGCCTCATGTAAAGTCATACCATAATGATAATTGTTTTAGGCAGAGTAAACAACAACAGCAGAGGCCCTCATGACAGATGAACTTGGTTTATTTGAAGAATGACAAGGCCAGTGTGGTTAGACCTAAATGTAATACGAACAGAAGAAAAAAGAATAGGAGATGGGGTTTGAGCAGGTGGCAGAGTCAGATCACCTGGGTTCTCATAGGTCAGAGTGGGAATCTGGATTTCATCCTACCTGTCCTGAGCAGTCCTTAATGAAAAGTATTCTGTAAAGTAAGCTGAAGTTTGAAAAACAATTATGTTGACGGTAACCTGATAGCATAGGCACTCAATCAGTTGTCACATAAACTCCAAACCTAGAAGCCAGCAGAGACTTTGAGAGATCAAAGGGAGTGACATAGAATTATCCACTGGCCAAAGCTCAGGCATCGGACTTTCTTGTCCCCTGCCCTTGAAGCAGGAGGTCTGAATGCATTTTACCAGCCTCCATCTGAGAGGAGCTGATCACAAATTCAGGAGGCTATACCCGCAGCCAGCAAACTGAGGCTCACAAGCCACATGCGGCTCTTTGGTCCCTTGTGGCCCCTTGAGTGTGGCTCTTCCACAAAATGCCACGGCCTGGGCAAGTCTATTTTGAAGAAGTGGGATTAGAAGAAGTTTAAGTTTTAAAAAATTTGGCTCTTAAAAGAAATTTCAATTGTTGTACTGCTGATATTTGGCTCTGTTGACTAATGAGTTTGCCAACCGCTGGGCATACCATCGGAGCTATAAACCTGTGATTTGCCCAGGTATCTACTGGTCTCCTGAAAAGAATGTTAACAATAGTAGTTCCCCCCCCCCCCCCGCCCCAAAGGTCTGCTCAGATGTAGATTTCTTTTTAAAAAAAATAGTTTATTGATTTTTTTTACAGAGAGGAAGGGAGAGAGATAGAGAGTTAGAAATATCGATGAGAGATAAACAGTGATCAGATGCCTCCTGCACACCCCCCACTGGGGATGTGCCCACAACCAAGGTACATGCCCTTGACTGGAATCTAACTGGGACCTTTCAATCTGCAGGCCGACGCTCTGTCCACTGAGCCAAACGGTTTCGGTACAGATGTAGATTTCTTAAAAAACAACAACAATAAAACAAACAAAAAAACAAAACAGGGATAGAGACTGTGTTTCTAGACGTAGCCAAATGTCTTCCAACAGGAAAGCAATTATGTTCCTTAAAAAAAAAATTATATATATATATATATATATATATATATATTATTTTTTTTTTATAGAGAGGAAGGGAGAGGGACAGAGAATTATTGATCAGCTGCCTCCTGCACACCCCCTACTGGGTATGTGCCCGCAACCAAGGTACATGCCCTTGGCTGGAATTGAACCTGGGACCCTTCAGTCTGCAGGCTGATGCTCTATCCACTGAGCAAAACCGGTCAGAGCCAATTATGTTACTTTTAAGAAAGGACAGGCTATTGTTTAATGCTCTGGAAACAAACACCCGGCTTCAACTGAAGCAGGGAAAGCCATGTTCAGGAGAGCCATCTTATGCATCGCTGTATTATATATGAGTCACTCTTGGGGCAAGTGCTCCTCAGGAACTGGAACCTCAGGGCACTGCACCCTATAGAGCCTGCCTGAGGACGGCTCACCAAAGACAAAGAATAAAGTAACACCATTACTTTCGTCCTCAAGAAATGCAAAGCCCGTTTCTGACCTTCTGACCTGACTGAATTTTTTTTAAAAGGTCCTAAGAAGTAGCCACCGCTTTGGCCTGTTTGCCAGAGCTCTCAGTGAGCTTTTAAAGGGCCACCTAGCTCTAATTGTGCTGATTGCCTGACAGCTGTGACTACAAGACGCTGACTCCAGAGCGCAACTCCTCCTGCAGAGGCACTAACCTTCCCCACAGATGCCTCCTCCCGGCCCCCTGAAGCCTGCGTGGGGTTAGCTAGCGGCAGCTGCACTTCTGCTCCAGGAAACAGCTCGCTGTAATCAGATCAATCCGAGGCTCTTCCCCGCTTTGCCTGGAAGCTTGGTGTTTGTTTTCAGAGCACTGAACAGCGAGAGTCCTAGCTTAACTGGCACACAGGTGTTTCATGTCTGAAAGGGATTTGGCTGGACCACCAGACAGCCTGCCTCACGGGTCGTTTGAAATCCAAGTTTGAGCAGAGAACCTTGAGTCGCTCCTGCCACCATAACTTTTCAGTGTGACCAGAGAGGAGGGTGTCATTGGTTAGGCACCAGCACACAGGCAATGAGATTTACAATTCTATCAATTTAACTTCCTCTTTAACTCCCTGACCCCTAACTCTTTCTCCATACCCTTACCCTGACCTTATAAAACACCTGCGGATTTCCTCCCCACGCCCCCCCCCCCCCCCCCCATTATTACACTGCTTAGGGCAGCTCTCCTGGGCCCTGAACATTGGAACCACCTGGGGAGCTTTTCAAACTCCTGAACGCTGGGTCCCAGCCCCAGAGATTCTAATTTAATTGTCTTTGAGTGTAGCCTGGGCGCCTGGATTTAAAAAATCTTCCCAGGAAACTCCCGTGCAGCCACCACTGTGAACCCCCAGACTCCGTGCGCTTTCCAAATGAACTCTCAGCTAATGCAGGCATCTCAGCTACCAGGAGAACGTGAAGGCTGCGTTCCAGAGCCCTCCCCACTGCAGGTAGCACTCTATGGCGGCAGAGGCCTCCAGCAGAGCAGGTCCTGCCAGCTAGTCCCTCTCCGGGGAGTGAGTGCCAGACGCGGGCAAGGACAGGGCAGGTCGGTATCTTGGGGGCAGGGAGGCAGCTTCCTTCAACACTCCATCTGTCAGTTGGGAATGGGCCTACTCCTCTGCAAACCAAGGACTTGTCTCTGACTTCCTCTCTGGGCTTTTGGGAGTCCAGCCGGCCCTCATTCTCTGCCAGCTGCACCAAGGTCAGCTAATGACGGAGGGCGTGCACGCGTGGGTACAGAGAGCGACTCCGCTGCCCAGGAGCAAGGGGAGGACCCGGGGTAGATGCTTGCAACTCAAAGTGTGTTCCTCGGCTCAGCAGCGTCTCCACAGCCTTGCAGGACGTTGGGTCTCCACCCAGACCTATTCGTTAAGAACCTGCATTTCAGCAGCACGCCCACGAGGGTGAGTACCAAAGTCTGAACAAAGTTTGCGGAGCGCGGGTGTACTGCATGGAGGAGTCGGGCCTGGATGGAGAGGGCAACTCACTCCTCTCCCCGCACCGGCCTTTTTTGGTCTGTGTGTGTGTGTGGTTTTTGTGAATCTTGAGCGGCGGAGCCTGGAGGCTGGCTGCAGGCTCCGGGCTGCACCAGGTCCGGCGGCCCCGCCCGCGCGCCCCGCCCCCTCCCGGCCCCGGCCGCCGCGGTTGCTGTGGCAGCGGGGACGCGGCTCGGGCGGAGACGGCCGGCCTCCTCCACCTTTCGCTTTTCCAATCGCGACCCGGGGCCCCGCCATGTCCCGGGGGAGGCGCGGCAGCCGCGTGGGCGCCCTGGAGGGCGGCGGGGAGGCAGGGGCGCCCCCGGCGGCGGCGGCCGCCGTGGCCTCGGTGCCCTGGGCGGCCCCGCAGCGGCCGGAGGCGGCGGCCGAGCGGGTGCTGCTCCGGGGCATCTTCGAGATCGGGAGGAGCAGCTGCGACATGGTGCTGAGCGAGCGGGCGCTGAGGTGGCGGCCCGTTCGGCCCGAGCGCCCCTCGGGTGAGTGTGCGGGTCCGAGCCTTCACCTCCCCACTCCCCTCTTCTTCCTCTGCTACCCCTCCCCCCTCCCATGCACCCGCCGCCGGGGTGCAAGCCTCAGCTCCTCCCTGAGCTCCTCCTCCGCCCCGCGGGCTGGGCGTCCTCCCAGCCGGTTTGGGGGGGACCCGGGCCGCTCCCCGGGGCCTCAGCTGCGGGCCGCCTCCCGAGGGCTCTCCCCTGTGGGCACATTCCCCGGCCACGTCACACTCAGCTCTGGCTCGGCGCCAGAGAGGGAGGAATGGATCCCCCATGGGCAAAGGCGGGAGGGGGGGGGGGGTGCTTTCTGCAGGCGGGAAGGTCAGCCTCCCCGCCCAGGGGATGGAGTTTTGTGGCAGATTCTGCCCGCGCTCTGCCAGGGCGAGCCTGCAGGAGGGTTCCGAAGGCTACCGGCCCTTTGCTGACTGATGAGAGTTGAGCCTCGGGCTTTGGAGTCTCTGGACTTTTCCTTCCGTCACAATCCCCTGCCAGTGTCTAAAGCCAAGCCCTCTTCAGGCTCAGTCTGGAAACTTTGGATTTTTGAGGTTCACTTTGGAATCATCATCATCGTGCTGTGTAACTTGCATTTGACTTTTATGGGCTCGAAACTTGCGTTATTTAGAACGTGTTATAATGCTGTATTTTACGATAGGACTATTTCAAGTCTGAGTCTAGGGATGGTTTAGAGAGAACCCTTGGGATGTGGTGCAGCCTCTTCTAGTTAAATACAAACGTATGAAATTACAAATGGCCTCCTCCCCTGTTGGAAAACGAGACGCAGAGCACTCTTTATATTACAGAGCAGGAAAACAGCACTACTTAAAAATTTCTTGCTCAGAAGTCTAACCAAATGAAGTGGCTGAGCTAGGGACCCAGCACCCGTCAGGAGTGTGAATTCAGCATCTGTATAAGCCATGCTCATGCCGCTAAAACCTTGACCTTAATTTAAATGTTTTCCGGCGCTGTGAAAACCAAGGTAGAATATCTTCTTGCCCTTCTGAGTTAAAATCTAGTATGGACAGAATTGTTCTGCTCAATTTTCAAGTCAGTTTGAATCTGGGGGATATAGAAGTTTACAATTAGACTCTAAGTTAGTCTACAAGAGCCACTTTAACCTACAATGAGGCTGAAATTTGATAGAATTAAAATGAAAGATGCAATGAGTTGTTGTAGGGATTAATATTGCAATTCTGTTAAACGGAGAGGCAAATAGTGACGTGAAAGAAATGTTATTTTCTATTGAGTGGTGATTGAGGAAAAGTAGTCTTAATTAGCGTTACTGTTGGTAGCATTTAAAAAGGCATCTTGACACTTCCAACTCTAAAGGTTGCAAGTGTTGACTTTGTTTGTTTGTTTGTTTACTTTGACCCTAAAACCCTCTGGTTTTCTTTTCCTTCATCTAGAAGTCCCACTTTTACTTGGTAACTAACACCTAGTGTGCAGAACACATTGGTCCCTAAATTTGAAGGTACAGAAGCATCTTAGTAAGTATTTCTATTTATAGGGAAACCAAGAGATGCTCAACTTAGTAACAGTAGATTGGGAAAAGAAAAGGAGGTATTAAGAGATGTTTAGATGTGAGAAATAGTGCCTGATGTGGAATTAGTTTACTACATGTGAGTAGAAAAGGACAAATGAAATCTGATCCAGAAACGGGAGGAAAAACTACATTCTATGTCATTTGCCTCCACCCATGGGCACACACTAGATGTTTGTCACCTCTTCATAACCAACCCATCCCATCTCTTCAGCCTCATCTAAAAATTTGTGTCATTTGTTATACCCTCTTCCTTATTTTTTATTTTATTTTTATTTTTTAGCCCTTGCTCTGGTGGCTTTCACGTTAGCCCAGTGATGTGCTCAGGACTCTCCTATCCTAGCCACCCCCAGCCTTGATCCTGTAAGCTTCTCTTTCTAGTGGCTGCTCTGCTTCATTTCTCACGTTCCTGCATAGCAAAATTCGTTTACTCTCACTGCCTTCATTAGTTCACTTCTTAATTAGTCCTCAACCACCTGAGACCTGGCTTTGTTCTCCCACGCTAAAGCTGCTCGGGCAAAGGTCAGCAATCACCTTCTAATTGCGCAATCATATGGACCAATATCAACCCTTACATTACTGGATTTCCCTTGCATTTGACTTTGACTTTGCTACCTTGGTTTCTGTGGCATCACCAGAACCTAACTTTTCAGTCTCCTGTTTGTCTAATTTTGGTGTTCTCAAGGAGTCTGGTCTTGCTAACTATTGTCATTCATCATCTGCTCTCTGGGTTATATCATCCACTCTCAGGCCGAACATTTAATCTCTGTTTTCAGTCCTGACTATACATCAGCTTGGGATTCCCACAAATTTAACACGCCTGCAACTTTTCCTGATGCTTAAAAATGTATTCCCTAACATAATTTTGGAATTTACTAATCCCTCAGTTGTTAGAATATTTAACTTTTTTTTTTAGGTATGGGTAAGCTGTGGTACAATGAGTGGGGCTCCTTGAAGTTTATGTTGGATGGATATACCTGGTAGATGGCATATGTAAGTAGTGAACATGCTAGCATAATATGAGAAAGGGCAGTTAGAAGGCTCTCTGGAATATTATCTAGGCCAGGATTCAGAAGGAAAGCCCCGACTCACTCTCCCTCACTTACTACTTCTAATCAACCATCAATTCTATTCATGCTATTTGCTCTCTTCCTTCACTGCCCAGACAATCACTACCCAAACTCAGGCCATTATAACCTTCTACTTGGCCTACTTTGTCACCTCCCTTGAGCCTGTATTTTAATGTTACCTTCTCAGTACAACTTTTTCTCATCACCTATTGAATTCCTTTCTCTACACACTTTTTAGCTCCCATTACTCTCATATTCTTCAGTGGCATGTATTATCTAAAATGCTATATAATACTGTCTGTCTGTCTTCCCCACCACCACCCAGCTTTGGGGGACCCAATAGTAAGTAAGTGGCATATAAATAAGGATAACTTTATAAGAGTTTTTAAAAGGCAGTGTTTTATAAAGGTGTAAGCAAGAAGTAAGGATAGTGAAGTGCTCTTGGGACTAAAAGTAGAGGGACAGGGGATTCCATTTTTAGGCCCAAAGTGTCTGAGTCTGGATTCAGAGAGACTATGTAAAGAGGGTCACTAGACAGGGGCTATGACCTTGCTTCAGCGTGGCTGATTTCTGCAGCCAATTCTGGTCCTTAGCATAATCCAAAGCCAACGGGAAGCTGGAGTCCAAGGGGACCACTTGATGGAGGTACAGAGTAGGGGAGAAGGGTGGAAGCTGGATCTAGATGGGGAAAAGGGAAGATGTTCAGAATATCTTCTTGTTTACTGTCAGTACCTTCAAAAGAGTGTATCACATGTAAACAATGTAAACAATCAACATTTGTTGAATGAATGAATATGCTAACTGGTCTCAGGAACTATCCTTTCTAATAAAAGAGTAATATGCAAATTAACCATCACTCTGCTATACCTACAAGCCATGCCCACCAGCCAATCAGAGCAAGTATGCAAATTAACCCCAACCAAGATGGCTGTGGCCACAGAGAGCAGAAGGGAGGCTTAGGTTTCCCTTGCAATGGAAGAAGCCAAGCTTTTAACACACCCTGGCAGGCCCAGGCCTCCACTCAAGGGTGCAAAGTTTCAATTATAGAAAGTAAAAAAATTACAACAGAAATGGTGGCAGCCACAGAGCTGGAAGAGCAGGAACTAGGGTTGCCCTAGGTGATGGAGGAAGCCAAGCTTCTACAGCCATGGCTGGCTCAGGCCTTCACTCCAGGCTACAAAGTTTCAATTGTAGAAGGTAAATCAATTCCAGATACCAGGGCCTCCGCTTGGGTCACCAGGGGGTGTGGCTGACCTGCAAACCGCCACAGGCCCATGCCCAGGCCACCCCACGCCCCAAGGGAACCCTCACCCTGATTTGGGACACCCTTCAGAGCAAACCAGCTGCCCCCCATCCATGCACCAGGCCTCTATCCTATCTAATAAAAGAGTAATATGCAGATTGACCATCATTCCAATACAAAAGATGGCTGCCCCCATGTGGACAAAAGATGGCCATCACAAGATGGCCAGCAGGAGAAGGCAGTTGGGTGGACCAGGCCTGTAAAGGAGGGCAGTTGGGAGACACCAGGCCTGCAAGCGAGGACTGTTTGGGGCGATCAACCCTGCAGGGGAAGGCAGTTAGGATGACCAGACTGGCGAAGGAGGGAAGTTGGGGGCAAACAAACTAGCAGGGGAGCAGTTAGACATCAATCAGGCTGGCTTGGGACTGGTTAGGGGGTGATCAGGCTGGCAGGCAGAAGTGGTTAGGGGCAATCAGGAAGGCAGGCAGGCGAGTAGTTGGAAGCCAGCAGTCTTGGATTGTGAGCCGGACTTCCCTCGAGGGGTCCCAGATTGGAGAGGGTGCAGACTGGGCTGAGGGATACCCCCAACCCTGTGCACGAATTTCATGCACCAGGCCTCTAGTTGCATCATCATCTGATTACAACACTGCTATTTAAGGAAAGCAACCTTTTCTGATGCTGAAAAATAACATCTGCTCTTGTATTCCCTCACATTCTCTCTCTCTCTCTCTCCCTCCCTCCCTCCCCCTCTCCCTCCCTCCTGCTCCCGCTCCCTCCCTCCTGCCCCCTCTCTCTCCCTCTCACCCCCTCCTCTGTCTCACACTGGGAACTTTGTCATTTACTCATGGAAAGCACCTAAGTAGACCCTAAAGCACCATAGGGTCTTTCTAGGCTTCCTACTCCAGCTGTCTGTAATGTGCTCCCATTAAGAGAGGCATCACCTGGAAGAGACCATTCCCTCCCCTTTTGTTAAAGAAGCATCAGAACTCTCTTCATTTTGTTTAATTTTATTTATTTATTTATTTATTTATTTATTTATTTATTTATGGATCAGCAAGGCAAATTTACTCCTGCGCAGAAGAGTGCTGTTGTCAGCTGGAAATTATGGGCAAACACCAGAATTCTTTTTAAAAAT